ACGCATACGGAACCATACCATCATCAATCATCACAGCCAATTTCATATTCTGCAATGTAGACATTATATATTATACTTATAGCACACTCCTGCATGGCCACTCAGAGGATTGCACTAACATAGGCTACAAGTTGCAGACGAACACAACTTAATTACATGATGAAGTTTTTTGTTTTTTTCCTTCTTATGGTCACATTGCCATATATTTTCTGTAAAATACTGGGTCATTACTGATTGTGATTAATTATTAAACAAATGTATATACTTATGTCAGATGATAGTCACATAATTAACATAACAAAACCAGAATAATGAGTGAGCGCTGAATAACACAACTTAGCAGCAACCCTATAAGGGAATCCCTCAAAAACCCTTAGAATAAAACACAAAGAATACAGGGAAAGGGCTGCGCTTAAAAAATACTTTAAAAGGTATAAAAGTCCAAATAAAATCAATGAATAAAAAAAAAAGGAAGAAGGTCTTATCTGACAATGTCCGTAGTGCATAGTCCGAAACAATAATCTTGCTTTTTATCTTCCTTATGGGCCGTCTCGTATGTAAAAGATAAAAACAAATACAGAACCCAAATAGTGTAGTATATCTTGGCGAAAAGGAAATTAAAATATAAGACTTGATTGCAAACTCACATTTCCAAGAGCTAGAACCTGCTCTGGTATAAGGGGTGTACAGCGGTTTAGATCCTCGCTTATGGGATATGGAATGCTTGTCCTTCACGTGCCTCCTCCTTCCGTATTGTGGGAGATACTGTTCTTGTGAATCTCTAGTTTCAGGAACTTAACAGACTGCTCTGCTGTTCTTCTATAGAATACCTGGGAGGGCTTGATGGGAGAGTCGGGAATTACCCTTCTGCTACACTGTTACAGTAATTCCCGACTCTCCCATCAAGCCCTCCCAGGTATTCTATAGAAGAACAGCAGAGCAGTCTGTTAAGCACAGCCCTTTCCCTGTATTCTTTACATAATTAACATAGCCCTGTATGTAGGGAGCTTTCAGGTGGAGACAAACCGGTAGTCAAGTTACAGAGCTACAATCGACCACTAGGTGGCCTGGATAAGTTATCTGCTGTTTAGTGATTACTGTATATTACTGTCTGTAATTACTTGGCACGTTAGTAAATTATCTATGTCTTAATCTTTAAGTTCCCCAAAAGTATGCTTGTGTGCTCTCTCAGCACAAATCTCATTAAGACCCCCCCATGGACTCAACAGGGGCACGGATGGTAGTGTTATCCCCGGAGAGTATAGCCGCACACTACGCCAACACCTCCCCAGGGGCATGCCGCGGCCGGCACAATCACTATGTCTCACCAGGAGTTGGTTTCTGGCTGGCCACTTGTTGCCATAGCAGCCATCCTACACACAGGGCCGCAGTCTAATTCTCACCATAAGTACGGGCTCACCCACGCACTACCTGCCTCATCAGTCAGACAGGCAGAGGGTCATAAATAAAACACCCTGCCAAGTTTAGCACTCCAAGCCACCCACAAGGCCACATTACAATGATGCACAATAATCTTGACAGTGGCACAACGGTCCAACACAGGGATATACAGTTATGTTAGAGATGGTTAATTATATTACGTAGTGCATTAATTATTGTTGATATTCATATTAAAGTAAGCTACAACAGTACTATTGATAATTGTAGAGAGTTGTTCCTCTGCGCTATGTTGTGTTGCTGCTAGCTATTACTCTTCATAACAGGCTCCCACTTAATTTGAAGCCTGGCGTTAGGTTCCTTTCCCTCATTTTCAATCAAGTTAGACTTGGTCTTACACCTGGTAATCAGGTTGCAGAATAGCATACCGCCACCTGGGGGCCTTGTTACGCATATCTTCATATATACAGTTAATGTATCCTTTGTATGTTTATGTATATTGCTGTATCATTAAATATAATGGGCTAGCATTTTCCCCGGTTACTTTCAGTTGTCTATTTTTAAACCTGGTATTTGTCATTTGTGATCTCTTGGTCTGCTTTCAGGATTCATAGACCTTATCAGAGCTAACGAGTGTTTTTTCCTACTAATTCGTCTGCTTTTCGTGGTTCTTAGAACTTACCAGAGCTCACCAGTGTTTCCTTACTGCCAATTGATACGTGCATTAGGTAACAGTGACACAATCCTTAAGTCATACGGCAATCTCAGTTATCAGGACCATAAGGGTACGCAAGGTTCAAACTGTACTGAGCAGACAGTTACGGAGCCAACAATGACACTATTGACGTGTGTTACAGATTCAAGCACCATGCTTAGACAAGCTTGGCACGTCCAAGTCATAGATTGCACTTTTCTGAGCTAAGATAGCTTGACACTTTTCTTAAAAGTCATAGTGGGGTAGGCCGTAGTTGAATTAAAGATTACGGATGGGGAAGGGGGGAAAGGGGCTTTAAGGTAGACTGTGATGGTCATCTAAACGTACATACTATACTCCCTTCCCGCTATTCTATGGCTTAAAATCTTGGTTAAGCCTCCTTCCCTAGCAGGAAACTGGGTTACCAAGGTGCAGATCCAGGTATACAACTGACCAACAGGTATGTAGCTCCAGCACCAGTAATATGTAATAGGTAATATGTACCACTGGTCAAAGCATAGCTAGCCGCCTCGCTTGTTGCATAGAGAGGGCCTCACTCATCACACCCTCACCCCAGTCGATTACTCTTGTATCTAGAAGCCAACAAGCCACATCATAAATAGAGCCTCTCAAGCCACTTGGCAACTAGTAGGGACCCACTTGCCACCATATTAGTGAATTATTTCGCCTCTTGGCACTAGCTAGCATAAAATATACAGCCTCAGTCCTAAGCGCATGCCTCCTAAATATCTTCAGTATGTCCCAGGAGCAGACGAAGGAGATGATATCTCAATCCCCCGTACTCCAGCCAGGACCGCTACCCCCACATGCAAGGGCGACACCGGTAGCCATCATTCCATAGGATCATGACTATCCCCCGCATCACTGCCAAACTATGTAGGTGCAGCATACTTTTCCCAGCTAGAATACAGACGCTGGCATAGGCATGAGTGGCACATGCATTGCCAGTGTTCTGTACAATGGCATGAGCCTTCCCTCTTTCTACTGCTAATATCTCTCCCTATACAACCAAGCATTCTGCTAGCATTTCCTGCTGCTCTATTACATTGTCTGCATACCTTTAAGTCATCAGAAATAATTACCTCTAAGTCCCTTTTCTGATGTTGAGTTAGGACTCTATCAGATATTCTGTACTATGCCCTTGGGTTTTTACTTCCAAGATGCATTATCTTGCACTTATCCATATTGAATGTCAGTTGCCACAACTCTGACCATTTTTCTAGTTTACCTAAATCATTTGCCATTTGGCTTATCCCTCCTGGAACATCAACCCTGTTACATATCTTAGTATCATCAGGAAAAAGACATACCTTACCATCAAGACCTCCTGCAATATCAATAATAAAAATATTAAAGAGAATGGGTCCAAGTACAGATCCCTGAGGTACACCACTGGTGACAAGCCCAAACTGTGAATATACTCCATTGACTACAACCATCTGTTGCCTGTCACTTAGCCACTGCCTTACCCATTCAACAATATTGGAATCCAAACTTAAAGATTGCAATTTATTAATAAGCCTTCTATGTGCAACAGTGTCAAAAGCCTTACTGAAATCTAGGTAAGCAATATCTACTGCAACACCCTGATCTATTATTTTAGTAACCCAATCAAAAAATTTAATAAGATTAGTTTGGCATGATCTCCCTGAAGTAAACCCAAGTTGTCTCTGATCTTGAAATCCATGTGTTTTTAGATGTTCAACATTCCTATCCTTTAACATGGTTTCCATTACTCTCCACACTACTGAAGTAAGGCTTACTGGCCTATAGTTGCCCGACTCCTCCCGATTACCTTTCTTGTGAATGGGCACAACATTCGCTAACTTCCAATCTTCTGGGACTACTCCTTTTAACAATGATTGGTTAAATAAATCTGTTAATGGTTTTGCTAGTACACCACTAAGCTCTTTTAATAACTTTGGATGTATTCCATCAGGTCCCATTGAATTATTTGTCTTTACTTTTGACAGTTGAAATAGAACCTCTTCCTCTGTAAACACACATGTAGAGTTGAGCGGACACCTGGATGTTCGGGTCCGGCGGGTTCGGCCGAACTTTGAAAAAAAGTCTGGGTTCGGGTTAGAACTTGACTCCGAATTTGACCCCGAACCCCAAACAAATGCGGATAGGGAAATCACTTAAAATAACATACAAATTAAAAATACAGCTGAGCCATAAAATAGCACTAGATGGAAACAAATGCGGATAGGGAAATCACTTAAAATAACATACAAATTAAAAATACAGCTGAGCCATAAAATAGCACTAGATGGAATCTTTGATTTTAGCTTTGGAAGAACATAAATCAAAATCTAAAGCATTGGAGGGTTGGAGTGCAGGGTATTCTCTTTCATTGTTCAAAGTAAGCTCAACTCCTGATGCATGGAGAAAAGGCCTTCACAAGCCTCTGCTATTGTGTACATAGTTTATACTAAGTGACCCATAGGTTGAGGAGGCGGTGACCGTGGCGGTGTAGGTGGAAGCAGCGGTGGAGGAGGAGGAGGTAGCCAACACTGTTTTTTTATATATATATATATATATATATATATATATATAATTTTTTAATTGGTGTAGCTCCCAAAATATTGGGACATATAAAAAAAGAAAACTGTTCTGCAGAGCGACTGACCCGTGCATGCTGCATCTGAAACTCCACTATCGCCTGCAGCTGCTCGCAAAGTCTCATGAGGCGGTGAGCGGGAAGGCAGAAGTTACGCTGCAGCGCAGACAGGTGAGCAACAGCAGGGTGAGAACGCCGAAAACACGCACAGACAGCCTGCACTTGTGGCAGCAGCTCTGATATATCTGGGTATACACCGTGGCATCACAAGGGCCACCCAGAACTGGCTCAAATCCCATCAAGCCAAGTTCCCGGAGGAGATCACCCAGCTCATCATGCTAGAGCACTTTTTCAATGTGCTCCCCAAGGACAAGGCGACGACGCATTCGTTTGTCAATCCATATCAACGTCCGATGCCATTTACTGTGCCTACCATGGTGACTACGGGTAACAGGGAATCAGGGTTCGATTCCATACAGGGACCCTGATAAATGGCTACCACATGCAAGGAAGGCAGCAGGCGCACAAATGACGCACTCCCGACGCGGACAGGTAGTGACGACAAATAACAATACAGGACTCTTTAGAGGCCCTGTAATTGTAATAAGTCCACTTGAAATCCTTTAACTCTGATCAATTGGAGGGCAAGTCTGGTGCAGAGCGACTGACCCGTGCGTGCTGCAGCTGAAACTCCACTATCGCCTGCTGCTGCTCGCCCAGTCTCTCCAGCATGTGCTGGGTACGTCACATATGAGGCGGGGAGGCAAAAGTTATGCTGCAGCACAGACAGGCAAGCAGCAGGCGAGCAGCAGCAGAGTGAGAATGCCAAAAGTGCGCACAGCCACTACAGTGAATGTCACATCCTGTTCCAAGTTGCAGACCAGTCTGGTGATGGCTTCTGGTATCCAGTACTCTTTTTACTGAAGCTCCATCAGGGTCCTGGTATGTGGCCGCACAAACGCTGGTGCTCAACACCAGGGGTCGTGCGGTTACCTTGGACCAGACAATGCTAATCCACTCCACACTGTGACTCCTAACTTCAACATCAGGCATACTGGGTCCCGGTCGTCCGACTGCCGCCCAGACAGTGTCTGGGTCCCGGTCACCGGACTGCAAAACTGCGAATGGCTTGTTAAATCTGTTATGATTCCTTTTATCGCTCCATCTGTTACTTGGATAACTGTGGGAATTCTAAAGATAATACATGCCGACTAGCGCTAGGGTACGGCCGCTCCGCTTTTGCACCCTGCTCCCTCTTATGCTGTGCTGGTGCCTCTGTGCGACCAGCGCCTCTTCCTCCAAACTGCACATGTCACTCGCATGACTTTGATTCCATGTGGGGTCTAGGACCTCATCATCCTCCACATCATCTTCCACCCACTCCTCAACCCTGCCTTCAATGCCGGTCTGCACACTGCAGAAAGTCACAGCAGTTGGCACCTGTGTTTTTACAGCAGGTAAAGTATGCAAAGGACATATGGAAATTGTTTTAGAATTGTATCCAGGTAACAGTTTTCTCTATAAACTGACCTCTCAGTTTGACTTATGAGGGTATTGGCCCTGAATTACAATATTGTTATATTGGTATTTGACGCTTCTATTTGACTCTCAGATATGAAGAGCATGCCCAAAATCTACCATTTAGCAGATTAGCACCCAGAAAATAAGAATTTTAACAACTGCACTGTTGGCGCACTATTTGACGCTTCTATTTGACTCTCAGATATGAAGAGCACGCCCCAAAGTGTACTATTTAGCAGTTTAGCAGCAAAACAATTAGAATTTTTACATCTGCGCTGTAAGCACACTATTTGACACTTCTATTTGACTCTCAGATATGAAGAGCACGCCCAAAATGTACTATTTAGCAGTTTAGCAGCAAAACAATTAGAATGTTTACAACTGTGCTGTAAGTGCACTATTTGACTCTTCTATTTGACTCTCAGATATGAAGTGCACGCCCAAAATGTACTGTTTAGCAGCAAAACAATTAGAATGTTTACAACTGCACTGTAAGCGCACTATTTGACACTTCTATTTGACTCTCAGATATGAAGTGCACGCCCAAAATGTACTGTTTAGCAGCAAAACAATTAGAATGTTTACAACTGCACTGTAAGCGCACTATTTGACACTTCTATTTGACTCTCAGATATGAAGTGCACGCCCAAAATGTACTGTTTAGCAGCAAAACAATTAGAATGTTTACAACTGCACTGTAAGCGCACTATTTGACACTTCTATTTGACTCTCAGATATGAAGTGCACGCCCAAAATGTACTGTTTAGCAGCAAAACAATTAGAATGTTTACAACTGCACTGTAAGCGCACTATTTGACACTTCTATTTGACTCTCAGATATGAAGTGCACCCCACTAATGTAATTTTTAGCACCCAAAAATGTTACGTTTTAAAACTGCAATGTGACAGCAGTATTTGACGCTTCTATTTGACACTCAGATATGAAGTGCACCGTACTAATGTACTACTTAGCACCCAAAAAAATTGACTTTTTAAAACTCCAATGTAACCGCAGTATTCAACACTTCTATTTGACTCTTAGAAATGAAGTGCACCCCACTAATGTACTAGTTTGTAGAATTCTTTCCAAATCTGTCCCTGAAAGCGGCAGCATCCTGTCCCTACACTAATAAGAGCTCATGTGACATGCTGCGCTACGTGACTCCATCTTATATATAGAGGCTGGGTCACATGCTGCACTGGCCAATCACAGCCATGCCATTAGTAGGCATGGCTGTGATGGCTTTTAAGGACACACAAGTCAAACGCTTGTTGATTGGCTGCCCTGCAGCCTTTGAAAACGCGCCATTAAATTGCCGAACACCGAACTCCAACCAGAACATACAGTGATATGTCCGTGTTCGGGGTCCAAAAAACATAAGGTTCGGTACGAACCCGAACTTTATAGTCCAGGTTCGCTCAACTCTACTCACATGTAATAAATGACTCATTTGTCCTTTTTCTTACTGAGGTCCCTTTCCTTCATTTTCATCTGTAAATACTAAACAAAAATATTCATTGAGGCAGTCAGCTAGACCTTTATCCTCTTTTACATACCTTCCTTCTTTTTTTTTTTTTTTAATCTAACTAATCCTTGTTTTACTTTCCTTTGTTATTTTATGTATCTAAAAAATGTTTTGTCCCCTTTTTTTACTGAATGTGCTATTTTCTCTTCTGTGTGTGATTTGGAAGCTCTTATAACTTGCTCAGCCTTGTTCATTTACAACAAAGGCATCAGCAGCTCTGGCACAGTACAACGCAAGAATGGATTAGAGCCAACTGGATACAGAGCTGTTCCTTAGACACTTCGCTGGGCTAAGATCCCCAGCTTGTGCAATTGACACAGCAACCACACATACCACAAACCTCTGCCTGGTTACACTGGACACTACCCCAACCACTGCCATCCCAGGTGCCTCGAGGGCAGAAAGCAAGGCAGGGATAAACTTGGTTGTCCAGTTGTGTATCTAGGTAAACCCCAAATTGATAAACAACTTTAATGTTGGAGCTTTAATGTTGGAGCCATGTGCCCACACGAAAGCCATGTGCCCGAGTAATACGCTATGACACCGTACCTGACATCAGTACATATTGACGCTATGGCAGGGCTACTGTCCACTCACCATCTAAACATTGGGGAACTCCCCTTCTCTAGCTGGAGAACTAACCCTATTGGTTTGGTCACGGGGAAATAATTTTCTGGGCATACAGATTGACTCAGTAGCCATGGAAGCAGCCTAGAGCAGGACAAAATCAACAATATCCGACATGACATAGACCACTACTTACGTATAGGCTCATGTAACAGGAAAGAACTGCAGTCACTGAGGCTCATTAAATTTCGCCAGTCGTATAATACCACAAGGCAGATCGTTCATTTCAAGGTTCTTGCGCCTTCTCCTTACATTCCCAGATGACTACAGCCATATCCCCCTTGACTAGCAAGCCACCGCAGATCTACACAGGTGGAACATGTTTCTCTCAAGTTGGAATGGGAGAAGCATGTTTCTCCCTCAGGTATCTGTAGACTCCCCCACCATTTGGACTGACGCAGCAGCATACACCAGGTTTGCAGCCATTTTCGGGAACAAATGGCTCTGGGGTAGGTGGCCGCAGGAAATAAGACAGATTGAAGGGTTCTACAAAAACTCTGCTTTCTTCGCGGCATACTACATAGTAGTGACATGGGGCCATTCATTGGCAGGGAGACCGGTGCGATGTTTCTCTGATAATTTGTCAGTTTGCCATGTCATAAACAAAGGCCAATCTTCCTCCCTGATGATTATGAATCTTATCAGGAGACTGACGTGGTTGGCAGCCTGTCACCAGTTTTTCTGGTATGCTATCATATACCAGGCATTTTTAACATGGCTGCTGACCAGGTATCAGGCATTCAGAAGGTCCCTACCGACAGCCTCATAATAGCCAATCCCCAGCTCCAAGATCTAATCAAAAACGTGCATAATGCATATGACAGGGTTTTTGTTTTATATAACAGGTTCATGACAGATCACCACCTGGCCAACTGGTTTTAAACTACAACCTTGGTGGCTTTCAACACTTTTTTGCCACCTCAAACTGAAGCTGTCACATAACACCATCAAGTTATACCTCACTAGCATCCAACACCACATGTTTTCAACTTTTCTCAACAACCCAGGCTTCCTTACATCCTACCCCATCAAAACCATTCTTGAAGGGATATCCAAAGCAAATGGTCCTACTCCACAATGTAGGTTGCCTATTGACATACATTTGTTCAAGCATATATCAGGCTTACTGGATACGGCACCTTGAACCACATTCAAACTCCGTTATCAACACAGCCATATGCTTGGCTTTCAACGGCTTTCTCAGACCACGAGAGTTCACTATCACAGGGCAACCCGATGGTAAAATTACCTTTGCACCTCATACCTTAACAAGCCCACTTTTGCCCACTGATTTACAGGCCTACCACATACGTCGGTATCGGCACACCTCAACCGACTTTGCTTATTAAAGGTAGATGACTTAATCTCTATTTTATTTACATTACTGAAATGGCCCCGAACACAAATTGGAAGGCTGGGCGTGAACCCCTTAAGGACACATGACATGTGTGACATGTCATGATTCCCTTTTATTCCAGAAGTTTGGTCCTTAAGGGGTTAAAAGGGACTCCCACCCCTCCCCTTCCCTACATTGCCTGATTGCTTCCAGGCGTACTGCTGGCCCACCCTCCACTCCCTCTATTCAACTCTATCTAAGGTAGGCCCACTTATTTACAGGCCTACTACACATGTCGGTATCGGCACACCTAAATCGACTATGCTTATTAAAGGTAGATGACTGAATATTTAATTTACATTACTGAAATGGCCCAGAACACAAATATATATATTGGGAAAAAAAAACATTTAGAAAAAAATAAATAAAACTGCTAACTTTGGCCAGAGTTTGTGACTACAAAAGACTGGAGATACCCCATTTGAAATACCCTGGGTTAACTTAATTTGAAAATGGTATTCCATGGTGGGGTTATTTCACATTCCTGGGCTACCATATGGTCTCAAAAGGCAACATGGACCCAGCAAACCAATCTGGCAAACTGAATTGGGCAAGCCCTATATTGACCCTGTACCTTTTCAAAACATTATAAAACCTGCACATTTCACTGAACAGAAATATGAGTGTTTAAAACAGTAAAACTTATCACAACGATGAAA